CGCCGCTGCGGGAGGTCTCGCCGAGCGGCAGCCAAACCCCGTCAGCTGGGCCCTTGGGGCTAAGTGCCGCTGCGGGAAGGGCAATCGTCCTCCGAGCAGCTTAGAACATACTGGCTGTAAAAATGTCATAGATCAGCTAATAAGCGTGTGACCCGCCTGCGAAGAACTAACGACGACAAACCTGATCTGCAGGAGGGAAGCTGTGTTATGAACTATAAAGATGTGACCTCTGAGTGGAGCTGAGGAAGACCCGTTTGTTATACTGAGCCCTGCTGCTGCTACACAGCATGTTGCAAAGAGAGCAACTTTGTGCTGGGTACGTGTAGCAGGGGTGGGAGCCAATAGAGGGGGTGATTTCACCATAACTAGCTGGTAAAACCCAGCTAATTACTAGACACTTATGTTAACTAAAGGGTGTTGCTGAATGCAGTAATTTCTTGCTGAAGTGATTATTGGAGAGGTTTAATTAAAAAATTTGCAGTGGCCTTTTCTAGAAGATAAATCTGGATTCTTGATAGCTAATCTTTTCTCAGAGAGATGCAGCCCTCTCCAACCGAACGAAAGACCTCCAAAGAAACCCGAAGAACAGTAAGAAACATCCTGAAACAGGCAAGTTAAAAGGCAGTTACTATTTGAAAGAAGTCTTCTGAGCTAGCACTTAGTACTTGAGTAGTTCATAAACTTTCTCTTTATGTAATAAAAACAAAGCCTCAGTTTATGAAAAAAGTCTTACCAAAATTTGTACAGCAAATGGACTTGTATGTTTGAGGATAACGAAGGAAGCTGTTTTAAGAGCTGCTTATAAAGCAGGCATGTTATAACACCCATTATTGAGGCTTAAGGAAGTGAGTTTTAGAAGGCAAGGATTGTGATTTTTAAGTTACACTTTAAAAGTGTTTTTAGATTATCATTACTGACAGCAAATCGAGAATGCTAGTACTGACAAAAATTTGACTCGAGGGACATTCTGTTCCAAATATAAATATGTATCCCGTATTTGAACAGAAAAGAGCTTACTCTACTTCAACGCTTCTTCCTAAAAATGAAAATCAGCCTTGTGACATGCCAAATATAATTTACTTACTACTTTGCAACAACAGTAAAATGCTCAGAAACTATATAAAGACTTCAGACAGTAAACACGTATTTAATAAAACTGTGGCTCAGTTACACTGGATCCTTGAATAAGGAGTTCCCAGTACAACTTCATTGATCTGCTTATATTGCAGAGCAGTCTCCAGGTAGACATACACATTCACACCATCCAAACTCATTTGGTCCACCCCCAAACTCTTCTTCCATTTCATCGTGCCAATGTGTATGATTTTGCCTGCCTCTTCAGCAGGCGTTTACCTGAAAGACAATCACAGTACATTTACAGACATGGCCCTTTTTTTCAAAATAAAATTGTCAGCAATAATTTTAAAATAAATTTGTTTTTAATATAGCTAAATGAGACATGCTAAAGCCTTACAGACTTATATTCCTGAGCAGATTATACATTGCCATTATTACCCAAAAAGCCCTCTCCACAGCATTTGCTGGTGTCATGTCTAGTCAAAAAGTTAAAATTAAAAAAAAAAAAAGCCAAATTGAAAAAAGTATAATGGGAAGTAGCTTATACTTTCTCTAGGGAACTGTATGTACTTTCTGGAATATGAACTTTTTCCTACAAGATTTAGAGGTATTAGCCACCTGCATGTGCGTGTTTTTTTTTTTTCTTGTAACTTTTGTTATGGTAACAATGGGGAGTGATTAATGAAAAAGGATTTTTTACTTCAGTCTTTAAGTAAATTAAACCATACTCTATCCACATTTGGCATTAGGTGAAACTTCCATCAGCCAAACTAATTCATAAAACAGAATTAAAGTTCAGGCAGCTCTAAGAAATTTAAAGACCATGGCTTCTTAAATTGCTTTTGCCCCTCCTTTTTAAGCAATTCTAATGTTTATGCTGTTCTAGAATTCAAGATTTGCACAGTTATGTCACTATAAGAGGATAAAAGATTTTTACTAATAATCTTTACAACTTCACTAACTTCTTTTCTATTGGGAAGTATCTACTTTAAACAACGGTCATGTCTCATATGCGAACTACTAAAGTATAAACAAAATTTCAGTTGCTACTTGATCAGGGCTGGACTTTAAATTAGCAGACAAAAAAGATGAAAAGTTATATATATTTTTTTTTTTAAATCAGTTGTGTTCAATAGAAGTTCACACTTCTATGCAGCTCACCATTTCTGAGCCAAAGCCTTTTAACACCCCCCCACTTATTGTGCTGTTTTCCCCTCTTTACTTAAATTATCTAACCACTTTGACTCTCTTCCTGTTTGGAAACTTTTGCAAAAGGAGGACAAAACACTCCATTCTACCTTAACCTTCAATTCTTTTCTTTTCTTTTTTTTTTTTTAAAAGAAAAGTTCAAAGTAGGGTACAGCAGGTTTGGAATTACCTTCCTCATCCACCTCCAGCCATTGGTGGTGGGCTGGGGCCCCCACCCCAGTGATTTATTCGGCCCATCCTACGGCGAGGATGTGCTGGTGGCCTGAAAAGAAAGTAAGGAAAGCATCTATTTAATTGGCATTAAATTGTTAAACTAGAAACATAATAACATTGTCTCTAAATGATAGAAACTGGAAAGTCAGAACCTCTGGAAAAGTTGTTTGGGTTTAATGTGAAAAGTTGTTAAAAAAAAAACCAAACAAACCCTCAACCTTTTGTACTTTTCACAGAATTCTCTTATGCAAACTTCTAATTACTCCTGTCTCACAAGATAAAGCTTACAGCTATCTAGAGGCTTTTACACAGTTCTACAAAAAAGTTAGGCAAACAAGGAAGCACAGTAACTGTAGCATTTATAAAGATGATATCTCTCTAACAGAGTGGTTTATCTGTAGGTCATGGGATATATGAAATGACTGATTTAATAGAAATGAAATGCTGAGTATAAGCAAATGTAACAAAATTTCAACAAAAATATGTTGTCTATTAGGCAGGTGTGAAAAACAGTTTCTGTGAGAGTTAAGACTATACTGTTATTAAAACTACCTAAAGCTATGTATTGTTATCAACGCGTTTCAGACAAAATACTGCAGATAAACTTCTTACATGACCCTATTCAATGCAAATCACAACTGTAATCTGAATGCATTATACCATTTTACTAAGACAGGGAGGAAAAGAAATCAGAACTAGTGTGAATATGGGAAAAATACCCTCTGCCATCACTGTATCCTGAATAGGAGGAAGATGTGTAGCCTCCTCTTCTCAAATCTGGTTGAATAATGCTCTGGAAGCTGAAAAATAAAACGAGAGTTAGATGAACTGATTGCTTGGTATAGTTCCTTAATTTTTGTATTGCAAGGTAAGAAACTGCCTGACAACAAGCGGTGTGCAGGAATGAACAATACATCTTTTCAATATCATTGTCGTTTAATAAATCTTTGCAGTTGTTCTCCTAAATATGAAGATAAAATCTGAAGTAATTCAAAATTACAATAAAGCTCAAACTATAATATCTATTTTTCTCAGAAATATGCAATAAATACATAAAATATAAACCTGTAACTTCAACAAAGAACGACTGTTGAATACATCAGAAGAACTTTTTGTTTCTTAACTGTCTCCGAATGAGGGTCATGTGATAGGTGTATTGTGATCATTTTACATAGCTAGAATCTACTGTCACCAGTAGAATTCTCCAAATATCTTAATTATTTGATCAGGTATTACAAACTGCCTGTTTAAAAAAGTATATTCTTTTTCTTGTTGCAGAAATGGAAGAAGTGTTAAGAAAACTCATTTGAACTGTCAGTATGTTAGTGTCACTTTTCATACAATTTTTATTAAATATGATACATTACTTAAAAACCAAAGCTATATAGTCACAGTAAAGCATTTAATGTTTTGGGGACAGTAGATGTGAAATACTAAAGAGAAAATCTTGGAGGGATTTTATTGTGGTGTTACTGATAGCACTGAGTAGCTTCCACCTACAGCAAATCTAAAATAAAGTTCACGAAAGAATTAATTTTTACTTACAACAGAACCACAAAGTCTGCTATCGACCAGAAGAAGTCTGTTATAGATGACAAACGCCAAGGAGCCCGACTTTGGTTATCCAAAACTTGTCCTGTAACATACCAAGACACAAAACACCCAGCGATGTTTAGTGCACGACCCTGTGCAGTGTGTTATGCAAAAATGTATCTGCTGAGTCTAGCACTTGAAAACAGGATGGTGAAACTACCCCACGGGCAACGGTAGCAACTTTCATTTCCTACAGAGTATTGTGCAAGTACTGAAATAATGGGATCACCACCACCAAGCAGAGGCTGTGTCCACGTAAAGGTACGAAAAAAACACCAGCACAGTCTCTGCTTTCCTGTACGCGGGTCAGCCGCTGCTGTTACGCTCCCGATGTCTACAAAATACACTTGGCCTTTTCAAAGTCCCCAGAAAACGGTTCTTCGAAGTACTTAAAGCTCAAGTCCAGGCCGCCGAGAAGCGCGGGGATCTGGGGCCTATCTGGCAGTGGCAGGGGCCGAGCCTCCGGCTCGGGGCAGCGCTCTACTCCGCCCGGCGCAGGCTCGATCCCCCTCGGCCTCCCCCGCTCGCTGCC